TTTTTGACAATCGCAGGCTCCATCAGAGTCCAGCCTCTGACAACACGGTTCATAGCGGATCGTCGCGCGAGAGACGACGACGACCGTCTGTACTAGACGAAGTAAGTACGAGGATTGGCTGGATGCGTCAAGACCTCACCAGGAGGTGCGGTGGGCACCGGTGGTTCCGGTATCGTGCTGTAAAGATGGCTGCCCCTGGAGGAGAGGCTGGCCGGCCGCGCGTTCCCGGCGTGCAACGCGCTGTAACCGCCTGGATGTTGATGTTGATGCTGGTGCTGGTTGTGATGCTGATGCTGGTGCTGGTGCTGGTGCTGGTGTTCCGCGCCGCTGTCCTCGTCCTCCGTTCTGCTGGACGCCGAGCTGACATAGGTGGACTGCGTGGGCGTGGGCGTGGGTGCGTGCACCGGCGCGACCAAAACGCCATTGGGCTTGGTCCACACGTCGCCGGCGGACGGCGCGGCGGTGTAACGCGCCGGCTTGCGATTTCGGTCGTTCACCTTCTTGCTGTCGCGCCTCTTGCCCACGGAGTCGGGCATCGCGAACCGCAACTTCTCCCAGAACCTCTTCTCGCCCCAGACGACCACCGTGCAGGTCTGCAGCAACAGCTGGAGCTCGGGATCGAGGGCGGGCGCCTCGGTGGCCAGAAGAACCACCACGCGCCGTTTCCTCGACGCGCCGGGTCTGATGTTCTCGAGCGCGGTCCTCAACGCGGCGCGGAACTCCGCGTGCTGCCACTCGTTGGCCAGGAACACCGGCGAGAAGATGATGACGATGCGGCGGGCGGCGGCGGCTGCCGGTGGCACGGCCTCCTGCGGCCTGGCCGGCGGCAAGTCTCGCCAGTGTAGACAAAGCGCCAGCCCGGACTGCTCCAACTCGGCGGCCAGGAATCTCGAGACAAAGTCCTCGTCCCTCTCGCTGTAGACTATGTAACCGTCGTAGAGACGGTCCCTCTCCTCGTCCGGCGGCGTTGTCGTCATTTTCCCGAGCCGAAGGCCGTAACGTGCGTGCGCCCACAGGCGCACGTCCTGCCGGAATGCGAACGCGAGCGCGACGAACAGGCAAATAGCGATGACGGCGACCAACGCGCCGGCTAAAAGCGGCACGAAGTTGCCACCCAGCAGCGGGATCTCTTGGATGCCTGAACGGCTGACGGCCTCGGTAGACGGATCGCCGCAACGCTTCATGGCCTGCGCCAGAGTCTCGACGCCGTCGCGGCAGTACATCTTCTCCGGGTCGCCGCGATGCTCGGCCAGCCAGCCGCGCAATTTAGCGGCGTTGCCGCACTCGCAGCTCCACGCGTTACCCTCCAGCGCGACCACTCGCGTGCTATCACCCACGCTCGGCAACGCTTCCCACGGCCTGAAGTTCACGATCCGATTGCTGTCCAGCCTCAGCACCTCGAGGTTCTTCATCTTCTTGAACGTCGTGTTGCCGACGGTCGCGATCGCGTTGTGATCCAGATACAGCTCGGACATGCGTTCCAGCTGATCGAACTCGAAGCCGCGTAGCTCGCGCAGCGCATTGTCCTCGAGGTGAAGGACGCGCAACGCGCCGACACCGTTGAACGTGAAATTGTGAATGGCCGAGATGCCGCTGTTGTTGAGGAACAACACCTCCAGCCTGCGTTTCCCGATGAACACGTGGCTGCCGAGGTCGCCGAGCTCGTTCCCATCCAGATAGATCTCGGTCGCGTCCATGGGGATCCTCTCGGGGACGTGCTTGTAGCCGGCGTTCGAGCAGTCCACCACGTTGCTCGACCAGCTGTGGTCGTGATAGCACGAGCAATTGTCCGGGCAGGTCATCTCGCAGTCGCACGCGTCGAAGTCGCAGCAATGGCACAGGGCGAAACAGTGCGCCGCGTACTGGCAGAGGAAGTCTTTCGGTTTCAGCGACAGCAGCGGTCGTCGCGGCGTGGCGCGCGCGTGCACCATCTCGCACGTGACCGAGTCCAGATCCATCACTCGGGGATGCTGTCGAAGGCGTGCCATCTCGTTGATCCTCGGCAACCATTCCATGGTGCAGTTGCACAGGAGGGGATTGTTCCCGATGTAGAACTGCGGCAGTTCCTCGTCATCCGGCACCTTCTGCAACCCTATCGCCGCCACGTCCAAACTTCGTATCTCGTTCTCGTACAGCATGACCTTCTGCAGGCTCCTCTTCTGCAGGAACGTTCCCGGCGCGATCGCGCGTATCCTGTTGTTGTTGAGGAACAACGTCTCCACGCTGTCGGGCACGTTCGCGTCGGCGATCTCGACGATTTGGTTGTAGCTCGCGTCCAGCATCTTTATACGCAGCGTGTTCTTCACCGTGTAATAATTCCCCAGCTCGCTTATCTGATTCGCGTGCACGTCCAGCCATTCTATGCTGCCCGGCAGATGACTGTAGTCGAACCACAGCAGCTTATTGTCCGACACGTTCAGCCAGACGAGGGTCGTCAGGCTGGTGAACGCGCCGCGGATCTCCGTTAGCTGATTCCCGTCCAGCCGGATGGCGCGTAACACCGGATTGCTCGAGAACGCGCTCTGCTCCACGTGACGGATGTAATTGTTCGCCAGGTTCAACACTTGGAGCGCGGGCAACGCGGCGAAAGCCTCGCGCGACACGTTCTCCAGCTTGTTGTCCACCAGCCGCAGCCCGTACAGCTCGCTCAGACCGTCGAACGAGTCGTTCTCGATCCTGGACACGTGGTTCTTCCCAAGGTCGAGCGTCTTCAGCGAACGGAGCACGCGAACCGCGTGCGGGATCTCCGTCAGGTAATTGCCCCGTAGCGAGAGGTCCTGCAGCCCGGTCAGATTGTCGAACACGTGGCGATGAAGCGTTCGCAGCCGGTTCGTGTCGAGGAAAAGCTGATCGAGGGTGGTGAGGCCGACGGTGTGCGCCGGGTCGAATCTCGCTATGCGATTGTGCGATAATGTCAACGAGTGGAGATTGGTCAGCGAGCCGAAACACCCGTCGACCAGCGTTTCGATCTCGTTGTGCTCGAGCTTCAGTATCTGAAGGCTGTACAGTTCCTTGAACACATGGGCGTCGATCCTCGCGAGCGCGTTGAACGACAAGTCGAGAATGACGAGCCGCATGAGCCGGGAGAACGTGTCCCTGTTCACCCAGCGGTTCGTCAGTTCGTTGCTGCTCAAATCCAGTATCTGCAGCTCGACCAGACTGTCCAAGAGGCCGGGCGCCAACACCGCCAGCGAGTTGTTGCTGAGTATCAGCTCCCTGAGTTCCTTCGTTCGCCAGAACAGCTCCGGTGGCAAGGCGACCAGCCGGTTGCTGGACATGTTGAGCGAGTGTAGCGCGGTCAGCCCGGCCAGAGCGTGATCGCCCACCGCGGTGATCACGTTCTCCTGCAGCTTCAGCACCGTTAGGCTACGCAGATTGTTCAGCGCTCGATCGTGCAGGGTGTTTAGATCGTTGTTGCTGAGATCGAGCACCTCGAGGCTCGGCGTGCACGACTCGACCAAGTCGGAGAAGCCGAGGGAAACGATGTCCTGTAACTTGTTGCGCGTGAGGTTCAGCGTGACCAGGCTCTGCACCGGGCAGAGCAGCTCGGCCGGAAGCGTCCACAGATTGTTGTCGGCCAGGTCCAAACGCTGGAGATGCGTGAGACCGCGGAGAGAGTCGCGGTGAAGCTCGAGGGTCATCGCCGACCAGTCGCCGTTGTGCGTTCTCACGGACAAAGTGCGCAAGTTGCGCGCGGAGGCGAAAACACCGCCCGGCAGATAGCGTATCTTGCAGTAATCCAGGCGAAGCTTCTCCAAACGTGGCAGCGGCGAGAAGAAACCGTGCGGCCCGTCGATCTGGCTCTCGAAGAACAGCACGTCGCTGCATTCCAAGGCCAATGAGCTGATCGAGTCCACTTGAATGGCCGAGAGATTGCCAATTAGGCTGGGCACGTTGGCGATAGTCCTAACCCTGCAGGCCAGCGCTTTTTCACCCTCCTCTCCGTCCTCCTTTTTCCACTCGCAGCCGCTCGGTGCCTCGAGGCTGGTGATGCTGCGGCCGTCTGTCGTGCCAACGTTGAAAAACCACGTCAGGCAGCAGACGATCGCCGCCAGTCGACGGACCCGTCTCCACTCCATTACCGAGCAATTGTCGCACGCGTTGCTGCGTCGTTGTTGCTCGCCGCAACGAACACGCGCGCACACGCACACGCACACGCACACGCACACACACAGGCTGACTTCTAACTAACTACGGCTCAGCCGTCGTAACTCGTTGCGACTCGTGCTGCGGTCGTCGTCACGCACTCATAGTCACTTGCTGTCCCCGAGCCGATCCGGAGACGCTCCTCTC